CGGCACGGAGCGTGCGGCCGGGACGTGCGGCCGGAAGCGTACCTGGCCGCGGTGCCTTCTGGGAGTTGTAGTGCCGGAGCCGACACACCTCCACGTGCGCTCCCGCGACTTCTCCCCCGGTTCTTGAAAAAACAAAGATCCGTTTCTGGAGGGGGGTGTACTTCACCACACTTAGTAACCGACGATAGTTATGATAATTAGATAATATCAAGTTATAAGTAACGAATCATTTCAATGGCGATTTAACATAGTTCTGACGAAACCTACTTGCCTGTTCTCTTTAATTTAAAGCTCCTGGGGGAAGCGCTGTAGAAGTTTAGAAATATCCAGAGACATCCCAAGGCCGAATGAAAGCTGATTTCCCAGTAAGGACGTTAGAAAATGCTGTAATTAAAACACCTAGGACTACAGAAATAATTACCGTTTGATTACCCCTCATTGTGAACCGTAATATGGTCAAAACTGGCCCTGATGTTCTTTCCCGAGTGCAAAGTTTAGCCTTAAACTAACCCCAAACCACACGAATGCCTACAAGCAGGTTTCAGTCTCAAATGTTTCCATAGGAATCTCATTTATTTTAAATATGAACTTCAGCAGAATCCAAATGGCCTGAATAATTGTAGTCAATTGCAGAACTAAAAACACCTTTGACGATTTTGCAAAAGAATAGTGGAGGGTAGTAAGGCTCAATGACCGAAAAACTGTAAATATTTAGTAATGGTAGCTTTTCTATCTCATCAAAGCCAGCAATCCCTCAATAAGGGAGTTTTGGCCATGGCCGTATTTTATGTGCTTTGACAAGACCCAGTTCTCATTTCTACAATTGTCTTCTCTGCAAGTATCATTCTGTTCAGCATTTTCTTGAGTTAGCCATTGGAAAATTAAACAGCTGTGTCTCACTTGGAGTAGCTATAGGTAAGGGAGTTCCCAAATCATAAAATATCCCTAAAAACAGCTAGTTCCTTTTTTTTATTATTATTGCTGGATTCAGAGGGGAGGGAGGAAAGAAGAGATTTGCCATTTGAAAGTATTTACTTTTTCGGCTGCCTTTGATTTTCTCAGAGGAAAACACAAAAAGGCCACACACACACACACACACACACACACACACAACTTAAGGGGGCTTGGGTGGGGGTTTCACCTGATGCTGGCTGCAAGAACTTGGGATCAGAACCTTCTTAGCATCTTATAATCAAGAACTAGTGCAGCAGCGTGTTTCATGAGTCTCAGGCGACAACAATTAAATAACCCTCACAACTACCAACTGTCATTTCCCAAACTGCCACAGAATCTTCTAGGTCCAACATTCTATCATTTCTGAGAAAGGATTATCTTTTAAAAAAAACATTCCACTTGCTTTTTAAATAGTAGCACTGAGATATCCATTCCTCAAGAAAGCACTCTTTTATTTCCAGTCCTTTTGTTTCATTAGTGCCTGGAGCAAAGCCCGTGGCAGAAACTGGAGCCCAAGTCAGGAGAGAGCCACAGACCGATCCAAGGTTATAAACTGGGCTACTCTCATGGGGAGCAGCCAGCAGTGTCGCCTGATCCTCACAAGCCTGAAGAGCCATCGGGGAGTTACTACCAGCCCCCCACACTTAAAGCTGAGCTACTGGATTACAAACTGGAAGAAAGCCTTTCTTCTCTGACGGGTGTGTTAGGGCTCTAGCATGCACCTCAGACACGCTGTGAGTCTACCTTGGCCAACACAAAATATTGACAGAATTTTGGGGCCAAGCTCCAGCTGCAGGAGCAAATTTCCCATCACGTCAATACTGGGAGTAAAAATCCTCATGGATGTGGTCATGAGGCCTTTCCCTGGAAGCTGAGAATGAATTTTACAACAGGAAAGAAGTGAATAAGGCAAAAGAAAAAGAAAAATTGTTAAAAAAGAGAGATTAGGGCTCCAGGCATTCTAAAGACTACCAAAATGTACAGCTCTATTTACTGTTCTTTGCAATGACAAAAAATATTAATAAAAATTAAAAATTCTCATTTTGGCTTTTGCCATGTTTAATGGAATACAGTTGTTCACAACAAACTTCAAGAGGTAAAAACATTATTTCAGCTTTTCCCAAGTGTAAAACATGGATTTTTCACAATGGCTTTAATCAGGCATTACATGTAATCATGCAATAATGGTGTTTGGTAACAGTGTCTGGAAATAGTCCAATGCAGCTAAAACTTGATAGGTGAAGAGGGGGTTTATCTGGAGGTAAAGACCACTTATATATATTTCTTAGGGATGTTTTTCCCAATAACTTATGTGCCTATAATGGATACTTCGTTGTAGAGTTCGTAGGGCGAAATAAAAGGCAAGATATTAGATTTTTTCCAGAAATCTTTGCTAATATAGTCAAGGGTTCAGCCAAATATTTACTCTCTACTTCTTCATTTACTTTTAATACTGCACAGTTCTTTTTATTATATTCTCTTATTTATAGTTATAGGCAAACAGCTCTTTTCTAAATATTAATTTCTTATTTTATTTCCTAGATTTTTACCCCAAACATTGTATTCAATAAGTTCATACCAAGTTAGTCTGTTTTACTTAGACAAAAATGAAAATGCATGTCTTGATTTTTAAAGTTTCCCATTAAGAGTACATTTCAATTTAAAAGTCCATTTTAATCTAGGGTAATCTGTCATTTCTATGATATCTTCTAAGTCACCTATGATGAATATTTTTGTTCATTTCTCCTAGGTTCTAGTACTTTTAGTAAAGATACTAAGATGAAGAAAGATCTCAACTGCTGATTGAAATGTCTCATTCTGGAATCAAAGTACATCACTGCTTTCAACAAATTCTCAAAATTTGTAAGCACTCTGGAACCTTTTGGCTTTAGGAAGAAGCTCTTCTTTTATGATGGATGACTAATGAATGGAATATAGCTACAAGATGAATAAGTAATCCAATTCATTTTCAGGTACCTATTAAAATATTGCAATCTGAATGATTTTTCTCCCAAATCAGTGGATAGCAGTGAGTACATATCTTAATAATTTCTTATCTTGAAATATAGATAATATATTTACCTATTTAAAATTTTAGTTTTGTTTTCAAACCATATGTAGAAATAAGGTTTAGAAAATATCCATTTACTTGTGAAATACTTCATACTTTTGAGTTATACAATTATGAACTAGTTTATATTCATATTCAATCAGAGCATTGAAAGAAAATATATTATTTTATTTTTACTAGCTGGTTTTGGTTAATATACTAGAATTAAGAAAAATACGTACTGCATAGTATTCACTAAGGTAAACTAACCTACAGTTACAGGTGAGGTCATTTATGATGAGCAAACAATGGATTTGGTAACAGTGAGGAAAATTCTGGAAGTTTGAGTTTGTGTGCTTACTAGCAACCACTTTCAACATTTCTGCAAAGCTAGAGAAGGTATCTTCTAATTTAAATTTCTTTAAGAATTATCTATTGTGTAATATACTGTCAACAGGAGGTCAGTTTTAAAGGAATAATACTGATAGCCTGAAAGACTGTGGAAAATAAATTCTTTTTCCCCTTACACACTGATAGTTCTTATATTTGTATTTCTGCAATTTTTATATTAAAAAAGATTGGATTAGCAGCAAGAGTGTTGAAAATGGCAGAAGTTGGGAATGACTGCTATTTCTTTTTTAATTCCACATGCATAAAGGTAAATATACAATTTATAGTACTTCACCTGTTAAAACTTTCTAAAATGAAGGAAGATGTGGCAATAATTTGCATTGCTGAACCAAAATTTACTATTTTTATGTAAAATAGTTTATGTATTTAAAATCTGAAGTAAAAGCTTATCGTATGTTATTGATATATTGAATTTCTCTGAGGAAATCTGTGATAACTTAAAATATTCGTTTGACACCGTCCTTATATATGCCAGTTACATGGCCAATCGCTCCTTTCATCTTCATGTGGCACTTTTGCATATATTAGGGCTCTTTGAGATACCAAATTCCCAGTAGGGAAACATAATATGATACATCATACTCTTGGTTAATGTGGCTTCAGTCATATAAATTCAAATAAATTCAGGTCATTGTCAAATTAGTTTAATAAATCAAATTGATGCCTTATTTGAAATTCATTAACCCAGGAAATGAATTTTCCCCTGTCAAAAGTCTAAGTAACAGCAAACGTTTAATATCATGGAAAAAGAAAAAGAAGTGATATAAACAAATTAGCCAGATATGAATTAGGTTTATAAAGTTAAGAGATTAGGATTAATGGATCGCACTGAAACCAAATAAACGTAGAAACTCGATGTTTGGAGCTTCATGTTCACGCCAGAATGAACTCAGTGAAAGACATGACGCGTCTACTTTAAGGTGTTTCATCTCTGCTAGGAAACCTGAATAGAATCAGCCTCTTTGACCATTAGAATTGGATTCACTTCTATTGCCTGTTACCTTATGATTAAAAATAATATTAGAATTTATGTTCTGTGTGGGCAGAGAGTTTTGTCTGTTTCACAGCTATATCTCCAAGTACTCAGCATAGTGATTGATGGGGTAGTAAGTTCTCAATAAATAAATAAATAAACAATAATAGCAAGCACAATACTGTCCCTCACATAACTTTTACAACAACCTGTAAGGGGGTGATATTATTTCCCTTTGACATATGAAGAAACTGAAGCACAAAGAAGGTGAATAATGGATTGACTGTGACTATCGACAGGTAATGGGCCCGGGAGTTCAAATACTGGCTTATCTAGACTCTTTGCACTGCTTTGTACTACGAGATCCACAGATCCACATTTAAAAGGGGTAGGAGGGCCAGGCAGGCGTGGCTCAGTGGTTGAGCGTCAACCTGGGATCCAGGAGATCGAGGTTCGATTCCCGGTCAGGGCACATGCCCGGGTTGTGGACTCGATCCCCAGTCGGGGGCGTGCAGGAGGCAGCCGATCAATGACACTCTCTTCAGTGATGTTTCTATCTCTCTCTCCCTCTCCTTTCCTCTCTCTAAAATCAATAAAAATATATTTTAAGAGGTAAGAGGGAAGGCAAGAGTAAGACAAGAGTAAGAGGGTGGTCAAAGATAAGAAACAATCATGGAACGTGCATCAAAAGAGGGGAGAACTTAATGGAATCTTTTTATTGTATGTTATCTACCTCTCCGCTTAAAAAACCCTACAGTTTTTTCATGGTGGATCTATGTATAAAAGACAAAGAATAAAAAAGGTATAGTAGCCCATTAAAATAATCCACATCTGCTTTTGTCGCTATATAAAGGTATTGGTGTGTATATGTATTGGCACATGGTTTTATCATTGCAGACCAAGGGCATAAAGCATATTTAAGGTACCATAATGTGATAATTACTTAAAATTCCATCACAATTTAAAATTCAAGTTCCATTCCCTTAACAGTATCTTGATAGAGTAAGGAAACATTATATAATAAAAAGATTGAGTAATAGAGATCATCTCCACAAGTAGGATATGGCTGGAGATTCTTTTAAAAATCTTTCTGGCTTTCTTCAGAAAGAGAAGTTGTTCTGTCAATAGGTTGTAATCAAGAGTATCACTAGTCTCATATTTATCTTGAATGAACCATATGGATTAAATGATAATAAAATATAGCAATTGATCTGTGACTTGTGACAGGTACTATTTAATTAGATTATATTGTCAATCTCTCACTAAAATTAGACTAATTTGTTAAATTTTAAATGTATAGCCTTATATTTGTAGTATTTTTTAACTTCTAATTTGATCTCACATTTTCTTTAATTAATTAGCAACCTACTCTTGTTGAACATTAACATTAATATATTGAGTTTTCTACATATTTACTTTTTTCTTTCAGGGTTCCCAGTGCCGATTCCGACACTGTGAGAAGGCCCTTGGCAGTGACACTGTGTGCTCATTATGGAGAGAGGGAAAATGTCTAGATCCACTTTGCAGATTTAGACACATGGAAATGCAGGTAGAATTACTCAGCATCATTGTTTGTTAAAAAGGTCTCCCTTCAATAATATTGAACTATACTCTTATAAAACAATAGAGAAAACATATTATTTCCTCTACTTAATTTTAGGCATTTTGCACTTTGCTTAATTTAAAATCTTAGAAAAATGGAGGAGTGTCACATCTTTTAAATAGGAGGGCTTCAAAACACTGAAAGCCAGGAAACACACACAAGATCCTAAATCATTAATTGCAATAGTTTTTCTCATGTTGTGTTGTAGCACATGGTATTTATTATGACATCTGATCATTACATTTCTCCTACCTTTTTTATCTAGCAAAACTGCAGTATTTCATGCTTCTGGGAAACTCAACCTCTTGGTTGTGTGAAGATCAGTTGTATCTTTTATCACAGCAAACCTCGTAATATCAATGGATTATTTTTGCCACCAAGTAGCAGTGAGTATATGTTTGGAATAGCATGAACATACCATACTATAATCTGGCTTTGGAGTGCAGCATAGAATAACACATTAAGTAAGGTATGGCAAGGTGAGTAATGTGGTTCAATAGCCAATGGAGGATTTGGGAAGATTCCATCAAGAATCATGAAATGAAATTTAGAATGAGTCATCAAGTAGCTAACAAGATAAAGCAAGCTAAACTTTCTTTGACTGTGTGTATCTAAAGTGGATTTTATCCATCTGAAAAGTGAGGTGACTACAGAGCTCACCAGGTGGAAGGAAACTATGTCTCTGCAAAGTACCACACAACTGGAGCCAAGCTCAGAAGTCACACCCTCACCACTGCCCCTTTGAATGTGCAGAAACGTCTTGTAGGTGGGTAGAGCAAGGACATGTTCTGTTTTGCACACTTCTGCTTCCAGAAGAGCAGATATATATGTGGTTCTTCCTAAGACTTCAATGGTAGAGAAAATGTGATCCTCCACTGCAATAGCTGTGGCACAATTCAATTCAACTAAATGATACTGAGATTCTACTATGTGGTGAACCTCACACTAGTTTGGGGGCTCAGGGGGAGGTTCAGAAGACACCGTGCCCTAAAACAGTGAATGACAAGAACCTTGCTTAAGACACTGGAGGGTGTCAGGTTTCCCTGATGTTGTGTCTGCTTTGCTCTCCTACTGTGGCCGTCATATTTCTCCTGATGGAATAGTTCTAGAAATAAGCCTACAGAATATCAGCCCTTGTGATCTGAAAATTTGGCTTCAGACAATCCTTGACAAATGGATAACTAGAAATTAGGTCCCCTTGTTATATTTCTTCTTCTGAAAAATTCTGACCTCATAATATTCATCACAACATGTAATAGCTTGGTCAGTGTATCTCTTCCTCACTAAACTGTAAACATTACAAGGATGGGGAACATAACTAGTTCCCTTACCAATGCTTTGCACTGTATTTATAGCACGGATGCTCAGTAAAATTGAATGTATAGATAGATGGATGGGAGAGGGATAGATGACTACTGAAAGGTAATCTACTGGGGTGAAAGTTTTGCATCTACTAAGTGATTAATTTGGCCCCATTGATTTACATATAATATGATTTTATTTCATGAGGAACATTGTACTAAATTCTTTATATCTAGTTAATAATTTGCTTCCAAATGGCCTATGGGTAATATTACTATCTTTCAAACCAGCTCCTCAGGATAGAGGGAAACAAAGACTGCATGTTTGGGCAAAGAAGCTGTAGAATGTGCAACTCACCATTATTTGGCTCTGAGACATTCCCTGGGCTACGTTTTGTAGGGATACATTTTATTATTATCATCTACTAGTCATAGAATCCAGGAGTCGTATATAACTTCTGCCCTTTCTAGAAGTCTCAATTTCATCAGCAGGTGTCAAGGCTGAGCCTGGTTCTTGGAGTAAGCTTTCCTCTCTTTCAATGGAGTCAAAACTAGATTAATGTACTGGGAGCAAACCCTTCCCCTTAGCATTCTGTCTCCATTGAGAAAGGGAATAAGCTGGGTTCATAGGCTACTAATAGCCTCCTTCCTCCAACCTCCTTTCCCCTATCTAAAGGGGACAAGAGGGAGCCCCACATACCCATTTTACCTTCCAACACAGTCTCACCATGTCCACTTACCTGTTTTGAATTCACCAGGACTTGTTTCATTTGGTCTTTTATTCCTCTTTATGTCAGTTTGTCTAGGGGAAAAAAATAAAAACAAAAACACTTCTATGTGTTTCTCCTCTACTGTTACACAGCTACCACACTCAAAACACTTCTAACCCCAGATGGGTGAGCGTTTTCCCCCCATACCAAACAATTCTCTATGACACCAGCTAAGTACCCTACAATTCAATTTCATTCTGACACTAATTGGAGTCGGCAACGACCCCACACACAGCTCTGAATGAGCTCAATCCCAAAACACTGACCCTAACTTTAGATATCAATTACAAGTAGTAGATCCACAACTAACTTGGCTACACACTGGAGGTTCGCATGATTTCACTCCTTGAATTGCATCATTTGCTGGAATAGCTCACAGAACTTAGGAACTCTTACTTATGTTTACCAGTTTATTATATAATAAAGGACATCATAAAGGATACAGATGAACAGCCAGATGAAGAGATACATAAGGCAAGGTCTGGAAAGGAGGGAGCACAGGAACTCTGTTCCTGAGGAGTTGGGGTGTGCCACCTTCCTGGTATGTGGACATGTTCACCAACCCAGAAGCTCTCTAAATTCTGAACTTTTGGGATTTTGGGGGAGGCTTAAATGACTCTTCTTATTTGGTGCTCTGTTATCTCTTGGAATTTATCTCCCACATTCTTCTATTTGCTCACGCTCCTCCAACCACACTAGTTTCCTTGCTTTTCCCTAGAGCATGTTAGCATGCCCCTGCTTTAGGGTCTTTGCATGAAATCCTGTTCTCTTAACAACTTCATGGCTAATTCCTTTACCTCTTCAAGGCCTTAGTCAAATATCACCTTTTAATGAAGTATATTCTGAACACTCTTTTTGAGCTGTAATCAGCCTTCCTACTTCCTCCCTACACATTTCCAATCTTCCTGGCCTTGTGGTACTTTCTTTTTGCCATATCCCATATAATTTTTTTCAGGTACAATATAATATTTCCTATATCTAATGTTTGTTGTCTGATGACTCGCTTTAGAATGAATGTTCCATAAGAGCAGACATCTTTCTTTGGTTCACTGATGAATCCTAAACACCTACCATAGGAACACAGTATTACCTATCACATAAGCAGCCAATTCTACCCTAGTAAGTTCTGAACAGTGCATACAGGGGTAGGGCAAATGTAGGTTTACAATTGTGAGTATGCAAAACAGAGTTTATTCTTGCATTATTATTTTTTAATTGTTGTATTATTTATTTTTGTTGCAACTGTAAAAGCACTGTTGCCCACCTCTGTATTTGTGTTAAGCAGCCAACTATTTTCCCTCTGTCAAGACACATTTCTGTGCTCTGGGAAAGCAGATTCAATTCCTAGACTGTAGGAAACTACCAAGTCAGTTGAATTATGTATTGAATGACCACCATATCATCGGTTCATTTTGGAAATACTTCAATACCTCAAAAATTTGATCTTTTGTAGACTTAATATTTCCTACAATATTTCCAGGAACACCTATCTGCCAAGGTCTGTGTTAACCAAAACTGGGACCATAAATCTTCTTACCTCAAAGATTACTTTATAAAACTGTGCATTTATTGAAACCTACTTTTTAATGTTTTATTAAGTGCATGTGATTGATAAATTTAGGATAGGATTATGACAACAATAATGAAGTATCAATTCACATTGCATTGTGCAATTTATGTGTAATTTTTCTGTCAGGTTAAAATAAGATAACATTTAGACATTTAAATATGCAACTTGTGATAATTTCTAAGGCCTCTGGTTCATGAATTAAGACCCATCATGTGGTCCATATTAAGTGGGTGAGTTGGAGCCACAGCAGTGCTATCTAAGTCACCAGCTGTGCTCTTGCAGAATGAGGCGTTTGCCAAAAGCAATTTTTCATTAGTTGATTTGCTGTTGTATGTTATCGTTAAACACTAAATGTAATTATCAAGAGTTCTGCATATTTTTGTCTGAGAGTATAAAACTGTCAGTCAGTCTTTTTGCAATTTAAACTTTAACCTGCTAGCAAATTAAACAAGATTTTGGACTCTTTTGAAAGAGACTTCATTTAAATGTTGCTAAACCAGATATTTTAAAAGAGGCTTAATCCCTCTCTGGTTATCATCTCCAAGTTTAAAAGCAAATAAATGTTAAGCCAAATGATAGTGCTAAGAAAACATAAATCAGTTGATATTTGTTATAATAATAAGAATTAGATATTTTTTAGTACATTTTATGTTATCTTTGCAAGCATGGTAGGTACCTTCTCTTTCTGCCATGACATACATTAGAGGTTGGTATACTCAGAATAACTGTTCCTCTTAATGAACTCTCTAAATTTTGTTAGGGGACAATTTGTTCAAAACACAGTGCTGACACATTGGAGCAGTTGTTCATCTCCTTGGCTAATTGCTATGTTGTTCTATCATGAACAGTTGAATGGGATATTTGATTCTCATTTATTCTAAGTTAGTATCTTAGAGATGCCTTGGACAACTATGTGGCCACTTTAAATGAACTTTGGGTCAGCTCATTTTAGAAGGCCTCTCTTAAATGAACATGAGCACGTGACCCTTTTATTCTAAATCTTGAAAAACTTATTGTCTAATAAATGGCTTTTAAGTAGTTTAATAAACATTTTGACTTGAATATATGTGTCAGTAAAAGACTAATTTTGGATTTAAGACAGAGTAAGACAATTAATTGTTAATGGTTATAAGAGAAGAAATTTGTTCAACTCAGCTCTTTTCTTTGTAAGAAGGGGAGTAAATGCTATAACTCATACAATGTTGACCCTTGAAACAATTTGTGTTTGAATGGGCTACTCTTCATCCTGACTGGACACTGTGCCTCTTCTCATTTGTGACCCAAAGTGCTTCTAAAAGTGCAAAAAATAAAGGCAGTTCTATTTTTAATTTTTGAGGAAAGTTCATACCGTTTTCCTCAGTGGCTGCACCAGGCTGCATTCCCACCAGCAGCGCACTAGGGTTCCCTTTTCTCCACATCCTCACCACCACTTTTTGTTTGCTGATTTATTGATGGTTGCCCTTTTGGTGTGAGGTGATATCTCATTTTAGTTTTAATTTGCATCTCCCTGATAATTAGTGACTTTGAGCATTTTTTTCATATGTTTATTGGCCGTATGTATGTTCTCTTTGGAGAAGTGTCTATTCAGGTCCTTTGCCCTCTTTTTTTTTTTTTTTTTTTTTTTTAATTGTATTGTTTTGCTGGTGTTGAGTTGTATTAGTTCTTTATATATTTTGGAAATTAACCCCTTATCAGATGTATCATTGGGAAATATGTTCTCCCATACAGTGGGTTCCCTTTTCATT